TTAAACAGCTGAAAGACATCAAATATTCGAGAATCTCTTAAAGAATGAAGATTGAGTGATTCAGCGCAGAAAAATGGAGTTTGCGAAGAACAAAACAAAAAGGGACAACAACGGTGAAGCTTCTCCAACTGCCTTCATGCGCTTCGCAATACCTCTTGGACTCGATTCTGATGCATAATTGTGAACCAACCAATCAAGACAACTTCTGGGTAAATCTTTTACACCAAGAACTTCATCCAACAGTTCAACAAGAGCGCTAAAATGTACATATTAATGTAGTTTTGACGTTAACCAATTTACAAAATTAGTTGTATCCATAGCGCTAAAAGAGCTTAACAAATCTTCTGTCTACAAACTTACTGTGATGTTTGGTGAGTCAACCTGACTAAAAATTTTGCAGCTTTCACTCCACACACTTCATGGCTTTTCATTATGAAGCAGCTGTCGTATGAATGAACGCTTCTGAAACGAGTTATATGCATGTATCATGTAGCACAAAAAGAGGGAATCGCTTTTCAAATATTCACCTGCATAGTGAGTCCATACCCTGCTTCAGATTGTCTACGCCACCTTCCATAAGCTGTATGATCTCTGCGTGAAGAGTCCGTGCCAATGAGGTGCAGTAATCCGTCAGCACCATACCCTGTTTCGACCAACATGGGATAATGTGTTTGCGAAAATCTAAATGGCCAACAATTTTAATGTACAACTATACTGCAGAAAAAAAACTAGAATACCAGAATCGTTCCTGAAGTCGGAGCAGATAATATTCCATGCCTTTTGCCCGCTGAGTAATATGCGTTTCGCTGGATTCTCTGGACAATTTGACAAGCAAAGTTGGTAGTTGACGCTTAACCTAAAATTGCCCACGATTCTTCGTATGTTATGATGGTCACCTGCATTTCCACCTGCTAATATCTTCCTTATTTTACCTGATTGAAAATGTTCATTTTACTAGTTCTTTTATTGTCTCTTTCTATCAAGTAGAGTAGTAAGATTTTCAGCAATTTACAAACATCTATGATGACCATTTCCTCTTTCCCTTTCCATTAAATTTCTTTCTAACAACTGAAAGGACTTCGGCTTTGTACAAAGGGCTGAATGATTGATA